GTAAGAGCTGGTGCCTCAAGTAAGAGCTGGTGCCTCAAGTAAGAGCTGGTGCCTCAAGCTGGTGCCTCAAGTAAGAGCTGGTGCCTCAAGTAGTAAGAGAGCTGGTGCCTCAAGTAAGAGCTGGTGCCTCAAGTAAGAGCTGGTAAGCCTCAAGTAAGAGCTGGTGCCTCAAGTAAGAGCTGGTGCCTCTCAAGTAAGAGCTGGTGCCTCAAAGTAAGAGCTGGTGCCTCAAGTAAGAGCTGGTGCCTCAAGTAAGAGCTCAAGTAAGTGCCTCAAGTAAGAGCTGGTGCCTCAAGTAAGAGCTGGTGCCTCAAGTAAGAGCTGGTGCCTCAAGTAAGAGCTGGCACCAAGTAAGAGCTGGTGCCTCAAGTAAGAGCTGGTGCCTCAAGTAAGAGCTGGTGCCTCAGGTAAGAGCTGGTGCCTCAGGTAAGAGTTGTGCCTCAAGTAAGAGCTGGCGCCTCAAGTAAGAGCTGTGCCTCAAGTAAGAGCTGGTGGCTCAAGTAAGAGCTGTGCCTCAAGTAAGAGCTGGTGGCTCAAGTAAGAGCTGGTGCCTCAAGTAAGAGCTGGTGGCTCAAGTAAGAGCTGGTGCCTCAAGTAAGAGCTGGTGCCTCAAGTAAGAGCTGGTGCCTCAAGTAAGAGCTGTGCCTCAAGTAAGAGCTGGTGCCTCAAGTAAGAGCTGGTGCCTCAAGTAAGAGCTGGTGCCTCAAGTAAGAGCTGGTGCCTCAAGTAAGAGCTGGTGCCTCAAGTAAGAGCTGGTGCCTCAAGTAAGAGCTGGTGCCTCAAGTAAGAGCTGGTGCCTCAAGTAAGAGCTGGTGCCTCAAGTAAGAGCTGGTGCCTCAAGTAAGAGCTGGTGCCTCAAGTAAGAGCTGGTGCCTCAAGTAAGAGCTGGTGGCTCAAGTAAGAGCTGGTGCCTCAGGTAAGAGCTGGTGCCTCAAGTAAGAGCTGTGCCTCAAGTAAGATCTGGTGCCTCAAGTAAGAGCTGGTGCCTCAAGTAAGAGCTGGCGCCTCAAGTAAGAGATGTGCCTCAAGTAAGAGCTGGTGGCTCAAGTAAGAGTTGGTGCCTCAAGTAAGAGCTGGTGCCTCAAGTAAGAGCTGTGCCTCAAGTAAGATCTGGTGCCTCAAGTAAGAGCTGGTGCCTCAAGTAAGAGCTGTGCCTCAAGTAAGATCTGGTGCCTCAAGTAAGAGCTGGTGCCTCAAGTAAGATCTGGTGCCTCAAGTAAGAGCTGGTGCCCCAAGTAAGAGATGGTGGCTCAAGTAATAGCTGGTGCCTCAAGTAAGAGCTGGTGCCTCAAGTAAGAGCTGGTGCCTCAAGTAAGAGCTGGTGGCTCAAGTAAGAGCTGGTGGCTCAAGTAAGAGCTGGTGGCTCAAGTAAGAGTTGGTGCCTCAAGTAAGAGCTGGCGCCTCAAGTAAGAGATGTGCCTCAAGTAAGATCTGGTGCCTCAAGTAAGAGCTGGAGGCTCCTACACCCTGTGATGACACAGGGAGTCCTAATATGATACAACACATGACTGAAGCTCTCGAGAAGCCTACTATTGAGACGTCCACTAACACAAGTGTTCTATAAGGAGAAGACTAACAGAGAAAACCTTGGCAAGTTTTACCACGACAAAATGTTGAACATTCCTTAAAAAATTTTGTCACTTTCAGTGTCATTTCTTCAGTTGATCAATCGAAATGGAACGAAAATTATGACTATAATAAAATAAAACTGTATGTTGACAAAGTTAATTTTGACAAGACAGAAAGAGCAGTTGCTTTGATCCAGTCATTCAACACTCATCTGAAGAACAATGAAGAACAACTGCAAGAACAGCTTGCAGATTGCAGAGAAGCACAGAAATCAGTTTCTAAAGATAAAACTTGGAATTATAGGACAAATTGCACTTTCTGAATAATTATTTGAAAACATTTATGTTGACTAGGCCTACTGGGGGCATCACATTAACAAACAAAAAACACGCGCTGAATGCAAGAACACTTTCGTGGGATCAGGACGTGGGTGCACCGAGGAGTCCTGTTTCGCTAACCGCTTCTGCATGGTGGACATAAAGTTATGTCCTCTTTTAAAATATTTGTATAAAATTCAATTTTTATCCGATTTACTTTGGGTTTGTTTCAAACTGCGCGCCATGAGGCTCTCTTTCTCACCACTAGGCTGCATGGTACAATAAGTTCATGAAAGGTGTGGACCACTTCGATCAAATGGTATTATGTCCCAAACGGGTTGCAGGTGGGTGACTTTAGCCGTTTATACTGGTAATGCTTCCCCCATATCATGTATTATATGCATATGTCTGTTTAGGGAATTTTATTCCGATCAATGTACAACCAAAAATAACTGTGTGCAACAAGTATAAACTTGACAAACATAACAAAAGTAAAAACATTTCGTGTGTGTTTGACGCTCACTGATATGTTCCAGCGTTGTTTTATATTTGGCGCTATTCTATCTTACGCTTTGTTGATCTTTTTTACCTACGGGCTCATAGAACATTCTATTGCGAACACATTGACACAAAAATGAATGACGTACATAGAAAATTAATGTCATGAGAGTGAAATAAGTATAAACTTTCAAAGCGCCGTGCGTCGTCCCGTCACCGATACCGGGTAACAATTTCACCACTTCCCACACTCTTGCGGGCGGGCCGCAATCATTATTCTACGCTTATATTCATATCACCGTGTTGGGAATTTCATTGCGAGTCCATTGATACCAAAATTAACGCTGTAGGACAAGTGTGGAGGTGATAACAATCCCAAGAGTAAAAACATTTTGTTGCTGTTGGGCGCTCACGGCGAGTCATCTTCGTAGTTATTTATTTGGTGCTGGTATCCCTATACGTTTCGTGACTTTTTTTACTGATGTTCTTCTAGAGAATTTTATTGCGAACACGTTGGTACCAAAATGAAATACGTAGCTCAAGAACTAAGGTAAGGAGAGTAAAAAGAGTATACACATTTTTGTTTTTACCCTTACGCAGCAAAAACGCCGCGCGCACATACCACTTTTTTTTTTACCATCGAAGGGGGCGCGAAAGTGTTCGGCACAAAAGGTTACATAGTCCGCACAAAGGTTTGGAAGGTAAAAAAGTGAGTTCTGGCCGAGTCATCGTGAGACTGTACAACACAATGACTACTTGGTGAGGCGGTCGTCTGCTTTACAGGCACTTATCTTCGCATTTGTTTATATCCTCATATATAGTTTATTTAGTTTCAGGACTTAGTTCCTCATATTTAAGGACTTAGTTCCTCATATTTAAGGACTTAGTTCCTCATATTTAAGGACTTAGTTCCTCATATTTAGTTTAAGGACTTGCCCGAAACGCTATGCGTGCTAGTGGTTTTACAAGAATGTAAAATCAACTTAATTTCTATGTTCTCTGTTAACCCCCAATATACCTTCTTGTATATCTATTTTTTTTTCTTTTGAGATATATACAAGAGTTGTTACATTCTTGTACAGCCACTAGTACGCGTAGCGTTTCGGGCAAGTCCTTAATCCTATGGTCCCTGGAATACGATCCCCTGCCGCGAAGAATCGTTGTTACAACCAAGTACACATTTTACTGTTGTGTTAAACAGAGGCTACAGTTAAGGAATTGCGCCCAGTAAATCCTCCCCGGCCAGGATACGAACCCATGACATAGCGCTCGCGGAACGCCAGGCGAGTGTCTTACCACTACACCACGGAGACTGTAAATATACATCTATATAAATATGCATCTATGTAAATATGCATCTATATAAAGGAAAACATAAATGTTCGTTTGTTCAAAATTGCTAATCTCCGAAAGTTCTTCACCGATTGCTTTGAAATTTTTACACAACGTTCTATTCGCATCCGAACGTTTTTTTTTTATATACATACTATATAGATATCACGTCTGTGATGGGAAAAACATTCTTTAAAAAAAAAAGTGAGGGAAATCTTCGAAACCTCTTCACCGATTGCTGTGAAATTTTGACACAACGTTGCATTATAATAGACCCGGGTTTTTATATATCTACTATATACATGCCTCACCTGTGACAGGTAAAAAACATATATTTTTTTTAAAACAGCGCCATCTGTTGGACGTAAGAGCAACACATGCTATACTAAATATGTTACGATTCCATTTGAATGGTTTTGATTGCATTGATAAATTGAATCTTCATAGATTTCGATTTATTTTCATTTTGATTTAATTATTTTGTGAGATATTACATTGGAATTTAGCTGTGTTGTTCACCATACCGTTCATTTCGTAAGTATAAGTATAAATGCACACCTGTGACAGGTAAAAGCATGTTTTTTTTTTTTAAAAAACAGCACCATCTGTTGCACGTAAGAGCAACACATGCTATACTAAATATGTTACGATTCCATTTGAATGGTTTTGATTGCATTGATAAATTGAATCTTCATAGATTTCGATTTATTTTCATTTTGATTTAATTATTTTGTGAGATATTACATTGGAATTGAGCTGTGTTGTTTACCATACCGTTTATTTCGTGAGTATCGTTTATTTTATTATTTTTTTATTTTTTTTTTAACTTTTCTTCTTATTTTCCATTGATGGGAACATCAGATCATTTGAGATTGCATCGGCCGAGGGAGAGGGGAATGGCGGGGAGGACAAGAGGGACAGGGGAGTGGGGGAGGGTGGGGAGGACGAGGGCACGGGGGAGTGGATTATAGTGGGGAAGACAAGGGGACGGTGGAGGGGGGAATGATGGGGAGGACGAGGCTATGGGGGAGTGGGGAATGATTTGGAGGACGAAGTGATAGGAGAGGGGTGGAATGGTGGGGTGAACTGGGAGACAGGAGAAGGTTGCTGTGGCTCAGCAACGTACATGCGATGTTGAGCCACAGCAACGCGTGGCCGGGTACAGCTACTAAATAAATAAATAAATAAATAAATAAATAAATATCTGGTTAATGTTAAGCCCTAAGACTGATCTTCGTAGGTTACAAAATGTAGGGAAACATGCAGGGTGACCCTGAGACTGACCTTAGTAATCGAGAACAGGCAGGCAGGCAGGCAGGCAGGCAGGCAGGCAGGCAGGCAGGCAGGCGTCTTGTGGCGTCTTACTGTGCTGGGAACATATATATACCTGGCAAGTCACCGGATAATCGACTCCTCAGTTGTATCACGACACACGACACTGTCGCCCACTCCCTGTAATTTGCCTGCGACTCTTTGTGCAGCCGTTGTTCCCGTGGCAGAGCCACTGTTGGTGTTCACGTGTCATGAATGAGATGCATGAGTGCGGAAGTCACCACTTTGGTACCAACACAAAAGATTTTCCGCTGAGACCCACTGATGTAATAGTTCGTGGAGTGCATCACGCAGGAGACCAATCCGGACTGATCCGAGTAACTCCTGTGAACACGTGCTCAACTGATTGTGAATTTGATTCACAATCACCGATGAGTTTGATAGTTTGGGTGCCAGAGAGGACGGAGCTTCCAGGTCAAGGTCTGAAGCTTCCAGGAGGTCAAGGTCTGAAGCTTCCAGGAGGTCAAGGTCTGAAGCTTCCAGGAGGTCAAGGTCTGAAGCTTCCAGGAGGTCAAGGTCTGAAGCTTCCAGGAGGTCAAGGTCTGAAGCTTCCAGGAGGTCAAGGTCTGAAGCTTCCAGGAGGTCAAGGTCTGAAGCTTCCAGGAGGTCAAGGTCTGAAGCTTCCAGGAGGTCAGGGTCTGAAGCTTCCAGGAGGTCAAGGTCTGAAGCTTCCAGGAGGTCAAGGTCTGAAGCTTCCAGGAGGTCAAGGTCTGAAGCTTCCAGGAGGTCAGGGTCTGAAGCTTCCAGGAGGTCAGGGTCTGAAGCTTCCAGGAGGTCAAGGTCTGAAGCTTCCAGGAGGTCAAGGTCTGAAGCTTCCAGGAGGTCAAGGTCTGAAGCTTCCAGGAGGTCAAGGTCTGAAGCTTCCAGGAGGTCAAGGTCTGAAGCTTCCAGGAGGTCAAGGTCTGAAGCTTCCAGGAGGTCAAGGTCTGAAGCTTCCAGGAGGTCAAGGTCTGAAGCCTCCAGGAGGTCAAGGTCTGAAGCCTCCAGGAGGTCAGGGTCTGAAGCTTCCAGGAGGTCAGGGTCTGAAGTTTCCAGGAGGTCAAGGTCTGAAGCCTCCAGGAGGTCAAGGTCTGAAGCTTCCAGGAGGTCAAGGTCTGAAGCTTCCAGGAGGTCAAGGTCTAAAGCTTCCAGGAGGTCAGGGTCTGAAGCTTCCAGGAGGTCAAGGTCTGAAGCTTCCAGGAGGTCAGGGTCTGAAGCTTCCAGGAGGTCAAGGTCTGAAGCTTCCAGGAGGTCAGGGTCTGAAGCTTCCAGGAGGTCAGGGTCTGAAGCTTCCAGGAGGTCAAGGTCTGAAGCTTCCAGGAGGTCAAGGTCTGAAGCTTCCAGGAGGTCAAGGTCTGAAGCTTCCAGGAAGGTCTGAAGCTTCCAGGAGGTCAAGGTCTGAAGCTTCCAGGAGGTCAGGGTCTGAAGCTTCCAGGAGGTCAAGGTCTGAAGCTTCCAGGAGGTCAAGGTCTGAAGCTTCCAGGAGGTCAAGGTCTGAAGCTTCCAGGAGGTCAAGGTCTGAAGCTTCCAGGAGGTCAAGGTCTGAAGCTTCCAGGAGGTCAAGGTCTGAAGCTTCCAGGAGGTCAAGGTCTGAAGCTTCCAGGAGGTCAGGGTCTGAAGCTTCCAGGAGGTCAGGGTCTGAAGCTTCCAGGAGGTCAAGGTCTGAAGCTTCCAGGAGGTCAAGGTCTGAAGCTTCCAGGAGGTCAAGGTCTGAAGCTTCCAGGAGGTCAAGGTCTGAAGCTTCCAGGAGGTCAGGGTCTGAAGCTTCCAGGAGGTCAGGGTCTGAAGCTTCCAGGAGGTCAGGGTCTGAAGCTTCCAGGAGGTCAAGGTCTGAAGCTTCCAGGAGGTCAAGGTCTGAAGCTTCCAGGAGGTCAAGGTCTGAAGCTTCCAGGAGGTCAAGGTCTGAAGCTTCCAGGAGGTCAAGGTCTGAAGCTTCCAGGAGGTCAAGGTCTGAAGCTTCCAGGAGGTCAAGGTCTGAAGCTTCCAGGAGGTCAAGGTCTGAAGCTTCCAGGAGGTCAAGGTCTGAAGCTTCCAGGAGGTCAAGGTCTGAAGCTTCCAGGAGGTCAAGGTCTGAAGCTTCCAGGAGGTCAGGGTCTGAAGCTTCCAGGAGGTCAAGGTCTGAAGCTTCCAGGAGGTCAAGGTCTGAAGCTTCCAGGAGGTCAAGGTCTGAAGCTTCCAGGAGGTCAGGGTCTGAAGCTTCCAGGAGGTCAAGGTCTGAAGCTTCCAGGAGGTCAAGGTCTGAAGCTTCCAGGAGGTCAAGGTCTGAAGCTTCCAGGAGGTCAAGGTCTGAAGCTTCCAGGAGGTCAGGGTCTGAAGCTTCCAGGAGGTTAGGGTATGAAGCCTCCAGGTCAGGGTCTGAAGCTTCCAGGAGGTCAAGGTCTGCAGCTTCCAGGAGGTCAAAATCTGAAGCTTCCAGGAGGTCAAGGTCTGAAGCTTCCAGGAGGTCAAGGTCTGAAGCTTCCAGAAGGTCAAGGTCTGAAGCCTCCAGGAGGTCAGGGTCTGAAGCTTCCAGGAGGTCAAGGTCTGAAGCTTCCAGGAGGTCAAGGTCTGAAGCTTCCAGGAGGTCAGGGTCTGAAGCCTCCAGGAGGTCAGGGTCTGAAGCTTCCAGGAGGTCAAGGTCTGAAGCTTCCAGGAGGTCAGGGTCTGAAGCTTCCAAGAGGTCAGGGTCTGAAGCCTCCAGGAGGTCAGGGTCTGAAGCTTCCAGGAGGTCAGGGTCTGAAGCCTCCAGGAGGTCAAGGTCTGAAGCTTCCAGGAGGTCAAGGTCTGAAGCCTCCAGGTCATGGTCTGAAGCCTTTAGGAGGTCAAGGTCTGAAGCCTCCAGGAGGTCATGGTCTGAAGCCTCCAGGAGGTCAAGGTCTGAAGCCTCCAGGAGGTCAAGGTCTGAAGCCTCCAGGAGGTCAGGGTCTGAAGCCTCCAGGAGGTCAAGGTCTGAAGCCTCCAGGAGGTCAAGGTCTGAAGCCTCCAGGAGGTCAGGGTCTGAAGCCTCCAGGTCAAGGTCTGAAGCTTCCAGGAGGTCAAGGTCTGAAGCCTCCAGGAGGTCAAGGTCTGAAGCCTCCAGGAGGTCAGGGTCTGAAGCCTCCAGGAGGTCAAGGTCTGAAGCCTCCAGGAGGTCAGGGTCTGAAGCCTCCAGGAGGTCAGGGTCTGAAGCCTCCAGGAGGTCAGGGTCTGAAGCCTTTAGGAGGTCAGGGTCTGAAGCCTCCAGGAGGTCAAGGTCTGAGGCCTCCAGGAGGTCAAGGTCTGAAGCCTCCAGGAGGTCAAGGTCTGAAGCCTCCAGGAGGTCAAGGTCTGTAGCTTCCAGGAGGTCAAAGTCTGAAGCCTCCAGGAGGTCAGGGTTTGAAGCCTCCAGGAGGTCAGGGTCTGAAGCTTCCAGGTCAGGGTCTGAAGCCTCCAGGAGGTCAGGGTCTGAAGCTTCCAGGAGGTCAGGGTCTGAAGCCTCCAGGAGGTCAAGGTCTGAAGCTTCCAGGAGGTCAAGGTCTGAAGCCTCCAGGTCATGGTCTGAAGCCTTTAGGAGGTCAAGGTCTGAAGCCTCCAGGAGGTCAAGGTCTGAAGCCTCCAGGAGGTCAAGGTCTGAAGCTTCCAGGAGGTCAGGGTCTGAAGCCTCCAGGAGGTCAAGGTCTGAAGCCTCCAGGAGGTCAAGGTCTGAAGCCTCCAGGAGGTCAGGGTCTGAAGCTTCCAGGAGGTCAAGGTCTGAAGCCTCCAGGAGGTCAGGGTCTGAAGCCTCCAGGTCAAGGTCTGAAGCTTCCAGGAGGTCAAGGTCTGAAGCCTCCAGGAGGTCAAGGTCTGAAGCCTCCAGGAGGTCAGGGTCTGAAGCCTCCAGGAGGTCAAGGTCTGAAGTCTCCAGGAGGTCAGGGTCTGAAGCCTCCAGGAGGTCAGGGTCTGAAGCCTTTAGGAGGTCAGGGTCTGAAGCCTCCAGGAGGTCAAGGTCTGAGGCCTCCAGGAGGTCAAGGTCTGAAGCTACCAGGAGATCAAGGTCTGAATCCTCCAGGAGGTCAAGGTCTGAAGCCTCCAGGAGGTCAAGGTCTGAAACCTCCAGGAGGTCAAGGTCTGTAGCTTCCAGGAGGTCAAAGTCTGAAGCCTCCAGGAGGTCAGGGTTTGAAGCCTCCAGGAGGTCAGGGTCTAAAGCCTCCAGGAGGTCAAGGTCTGTAGCTTCCAGGAGGTCAGGGTCTGAAGCCTTTAGGAAGTCAAAGTCTGAAGCCTCCAGGAGGTCAGGGTCTGAAGCGTCCAGGAGGTCAAGGTCTGAAGCCTTTAGGAGGTCAAGGTCTGAAGCCTCCAGGTGGTCAGGGTCTGAAGCTTCCAGGAGGTCAGGGTCTGAAGCCTCCAGGAGGTCAAGGTCTGAAGCCTCCAGGAGGTCAAGGTCTGTAGCTTCCAGGAGGTCAAGGTCTGAAGCCTCCAGGAGGTCAAAGTCTGTAGCTTCCAGGAGGTAAAGGTCTGAAGCCTCCAGAAGGTCAGGGTCTGAAGCCTTTAGGTCAAGGTCTGAAGCTTCCAGGAGGTCAGGGTCTAAAGCTTCCAGGAGGTCAAGGTCTGAAGCCTCCAGGAGGTCAAGGTCTGAAGCCTCCAGGAGGTCAAGGTCTGAAGCTTCCAGGAGGTCAGGGTCTGAAGCCTCCAGGAGGTCAAGGTCTGAAGCCTCCAGGAGGTCAAGGTCTGAAGCCTCCAGGAGGTCAGGGTCTGAAGCTTCCAGGAGGTCATGGTCTGAAGCCTCCAGGAGGTCAGGGTCTGAAGCCTCCAGGTCAAGGTCTGAAGCTTCCAGGAGGTCAAGGTCTGAAGCCTCCAGGAGGTCAAGGTCTGAAGCCTCCAGGAGGTCAGGGTCTGAAGCCTCCAGGAGGTCAAGGTCTGAAGTCTCCAGGAGGTCAGGGTCTGAAGGCTCCAGGAGGTCAGGGTCTGAAGCCTTTAGGAGGTCAGGGTCTGAAGCCTCCAGGAGGTCAAGGTCTGAGGCCTCCAGGAGGTCAAGGTCTGAAGCCACCAGGAGATCAAGGTCTGAAGCCTCCAGGAGGTCAAGGTCTGAAGCCTCCAGGAGGTCAAGGTCTGAAACCTCCAGGAGGTCAAGGTCTGTAGCTTCCAGGGGGTCAAGGTCTGAAGCCTCCAGGAGGTCAGGGTTTG